AGGGTACACTGATGTGATCCCTTTGGAATTAAGACCACTACCTCAGTCGCTTGCCCCACGCCTAACCTACCTCCCCCCCCCCGCTTCATTTCATTCAGGAGCCTGACCAAGAAACCCGCAACAAGTCCCAATGCAACATATAAAATTCACAAGGAATCCCATCCACTCCTGGCACCTTACCCTTGCTCATTCCAGCCAACACTCTCCAAATTTTCTCCTCCTCAGTATCCCCCCAACGCCATTTTATCACTCCCTCCCAGGGGTTTACCCACACAGCCACTTATTTCCTCCAACAGCTCTTCATCCACCCCACAACTACACCAATAAGCATACCACCTGTCAGCATACATACCCATGCCTTCTGTCGACCTGAGCACCTGCCCCACTCGGTAGTTCTCCCCCCCCCCCGTCACACACCTCTAACTGCGTAAGAGTCGTTGCCTTCCTACGTTATTGCTGACCCCTCAGGACACAGGACGAAGGCCTATCCCCCCATAGCACCTCCTCTATACCCGCTTGCACCCTTACGGCTTCAAACCTCTCATTCTGCAACTCCCTTAACCTCTCCTTCAGGGCCTCCATCTCCTCCATATGGTACCTTCCCTGCAAAGCACCCCCACTGTAGCAAGCATGTAAGTGCTGCTCTAGATAATTTGACAACCCATATCTCATGTGGTTTATCCTCTTCCCTTCACATATGTAAAAATCTCTTATCCTAGTCTTTCTTTGCAATGCTATCCCACCATCCCACCACGTCATCAACTACCCTCCCCTCCTCCCCAAGCTCCTCCCATAGTGCAGCAAAGCCCGCCACTGCCTCCTCATCCCCGAGAATCCTTGTATTTAATTTCCAGTAACTCGCCTGCCTTCTAGCTAATGCCTCCCACCCTACCTCTGCTACAACTGCCCTATGATCAGGATAAGGTGGCTCTACTGTACGGACAGATTCTATACCAACACGCTGTGTAACATATAGTCTGTCTAACCTTGCCCCATAGCCCTCCCTCACATATGTATGGTCCACTTCCCATGAACCCCTGGCAAACACATCCCACAGTTGCACATCACGGAGAAGCTCCCCCAAAACAAGTGACAAAAAACCCTCGGCGCCACATCCGCTCTTCTAACGCAATTCCAATCCCCTCCCACTATTGCAAGAGAAGGTAACAATCATAAGAAATACACCAGCTCTTCCCTCACAAAAGCATTCTTAATGCGCACTATGTTCTCTGCCAGTGTGTACACACACACAAAAACCACTTTCTCACCCCCCACAAACTATCCACTCTTAAGATCCTGCCATCTACCCCCCCCCTCACTCTTTAGCAATACGAATGGGCTTGCAGCCCTGATCAAGATGGCTAACCCCCTTTAAAGCACTCTGAATGCGTCACAAAACTCTGATAGCCCTCCACCTCAAAATCCTTGCCAGCTTTCCAGTTATGCTCCTGAATATATGCTACGTCCACATGGTATCTATGTAAGAACATACAAAACCAATTATGCTTCATTCTCTCACACAAGCCATTAACGTTCAGCATCATACACCAGAGGCCAGTTAATGCTCGTGTCCCCTCTGGCCCACATCCCCCTTTACATGTGCATCGGGGCCCTTCTCACTGCCCTTACCACGCTCACCATGCAGGACACCCTGGCCATCCTGCACCGCCTGTCGCTGGTGCCTCCTCCCTCCTACACTGCTAGCCTCCACCGCCCACACCTTCTTCCCTGGGCGTTGGACCGGTGTTAAGACATCGTCAGAGTCAGATGTCGCTGCTGCCCGTTTCCTGGTGACAACACTCTCCTCCATTGATAAACTGGGTTCCTCCTCGCGATGCACCTCCACCACTAACAGCTGCACGTCTTCCTTACCTGGCATCAGCCCGTCCACACCGTGCCCAGCAACGCTCACTGCCGCCTCATGCCTAGCATCTATCTCTGACTCAGGCTCCTGATCACCCAATGGTCCTGCCACTGAGATCACAGGTGACTCGAACAATGACTGCATCATCGTCTCAACTGTAGCAGTGAAAACCTCTGCACCCCCAGAGACCTGCTGCTCCACCAGCCGTGCTGGCTGCTCCGGTATCAGCACATCCAGGGTCGGCTCCACCACTGATGCCTCAACCATTTCACTTCAAAGTTGACCACGCCCTCCATCCTCCGCCTGGGCAGACTCAGGAACGTCCTGCCTCTTGCCAGTGGGCGCTGCTTCAGCCGGTCACCCGGCCCGGCCCCGCCTACCACACTCAGCTGCAACATGATCATAGTCTCTACATATCCTATAGGTTCTCCTCTGCCCACCATACGTCACCATCACTTGAGTTCTGAAGTCCTCCAAGACAACATATGAGGGTATGGGGTGACAGAGGGTCATTTTAATGGAGAAACTTCCCTCAGAGTAACCGGCATATGCACCTGTCATCCATTTACCTTGTTGGGCAACATGTACAGCTCCATACCTTTCAAAAGCTTGACAAATGTCGACCTCATTCACCTCAAAAGGTACGTTCCGTACCCTCGCCCACATATACTGATGGGAAACGTCCACAAGTCTGACGCTCACTTCCAGGGTCACTTCCATACTAAGATCTTGGTAACGATCAACAAGACCATCATACACCTGCGCGTGGAGCAATTTCACGAATATCCTGAACGAGCCATTTAAAGCCACGCCGTACAGCTCCTTTTCGTCAATGCCGTAGGTGTTCCTGATAGTCAAGGGCAACAACTCATGGATTGTCGTGGGCATGATGGATCCACGCACTAATTCAATTCCAACAGTGTTTACTCTGCGACATACGCCAAAGACCATGATGAGCACTAGGTTGTTAGCTTGGCTGTCGACAGAGAGTTGTGAGGAACGTCCACTCACCCCAGCAGCTAGGCGAGGAATGAAGAAGAAATTAAGGGAAGATAGCTCAGTTGGTAGAGAACTGGCCGCTGATTTGACTTGCTATCATTGTTCAGTTGAAAAAAAAAGCACATGAAGGTAGGAAAAATTTGTAAAAAGAGACTATTTTGATCTCTGAAATCTTGAGAGGAGATTTATATTTTATTTCAGTCTCCGTACATGTTTTTTCCTCACTCGCTGTTTTAGGGATTAAAGTAATCTTTGACTGGTAGCATTCAGGTGAAATTCAGCCTTGAAGACCCTCGAACAAATAATTTTAAACCTAACAGCCAAACTGTTAACACAAACTGAAGTTTTTTGTTTTACAGGTTGACACTGGGCATTGTGTAAAACGTGATTTGAAGCAGTTAGGAGGTCTGTCAGTCTAGTTATTTGTCAGCCCCAATATTTTTTAATGTTCATATTGCAGTGTAAGATGTGTAGTCAACATTTTAGTGGGTCTATGGTTTGACCTCCTAGTGTACCACCATCATTCTCATTCGTAGGCAAAAGAAAGTGAAATTTATTTTTTTATTTATTTTGTAAATATTATCCTATAATAAGATACTCTTTTAAATACTGTATATATTTTCCAGAAATTCAGTATTTATATATAAATAGATGGCCATAATGTATTTAATAATATCTATGTCATAGAAAACGGAAAGCCTGCGTCTGGGCAGGAGACTCGCCATCTTGGTTTTTGAATTTTGTACAACCGTTGGTGTAATGGGAAGAATTTTTTGTGCTCTAGAGGTTAAAATTATGTTGACACCTCTCAAATAGGAGACGAAATTGATGGATGTGTATTCCTGCATAACTTGAGATATAAGACGACTGGACAAGACAGCTCCAGGAACCTCAGATAAGCTCTCTAGATTGATGGAGATGGACTAACGTCCTGAGACTTCCCCTTTTTGGATTTAATTACCTGTGCACCTGTATGAAATTGCAGGACGTAACCCCTCATCATTGCAGCGGTAAAGAACCTGCTTTCCTGTCATCGGGATAGAATACTCACGGCTATACTGTGAAGAACGAACCCGTGGGTTGTAACCAACACCTACGACCCCTCCCCATCATCAACAACTGCTACGATTTCAACAACACGCAGTGTCATCAACACCAGACACCCCTATACAGTGGACCCCCGCATAACGATCACCTCCGAATGCGACCAATTATGTAAGTGTATTTATGTAAGTGCGTTTGTACGTGTATGTTTGGGGCTCTGAAATGGACTAATCTACTTCACAATATTCCTTATGGGAACAAATTCGGTCAGTACTGGCACCTGAACATACTTCTGGAGTGAAAAAATATCGTTAACCGGGGGTCCACTGTATATATTAGCGTTGCGTTCAACTGTTATTTTATTCATTTCATTTTTCATTTTTCTTTCAAATAGGATATACCTTTCATGTTTTATTGTTTTATGTTTGCTTTAATAAATAATAAAGTGTTTATCTTTGTGAATTATTATTTTGTTTTCTATTCATTAATTTTCCTGAGGAGGAGCCAGCCTTGGTAATACTGTCTGAAGTTGTTAGAGGGCTGAGTAAGCCTTCACAATGATACACATTAATCTCCAGTCAAATTGGTGAGTGATATTAAGATATATTTTCTTTCTGTTATGTAATTGTGTATATATATAACCATTTATTATTTTTAATATACAGTCCACAAATTTATATATTTACCAGTATTCCTGGTGTATGTATATTTCATTTAAATAAAAGGTCCATAGCAACTTGTGGTTATGACAGTGGTAGGTATCGAAGGGGGACATTTTTTGCGACCTAGGTGTCCCAAATTCCTACTTGTCTATGTAACATTGATAAATAATAATTATCTTTGTTATCATTTACTGTTATGTACATAATTAGTTACATTCAGATAAATGCAATTTTCCACAGATATAACATTTATTTTTTATATAAAGCTGTTTACTACAGTTTCATCCAGATAAATTAAAAATTAGTAGGTTGCAATCAATCTATGTTTTTTTTTGAATTAGTGACAGCAGTAGGCGCTGATTTAAAAGTTTATATACTTCACTGTGAAAAAATATATAACCAATTAGTAAAGGGAATATAATGATGCGGAGTGAATCAGTGTTCATCAGAGTACCAGATACTTCTAACAATGTTGCAAACTTACAATGTATGAACAAAAATTTCAAATTGATTTTTAAATTTTATTTGTGGTATATTTAATAAATATAAATCGTAAATTAATAACAGCAACGCCTGACTTTAATGAATCAAAATCTTTGAATTAACTTGCCTCTTATTTTTATTTAAAGTTCATGTCAGCCTTAGTTTGTAAGAGCAACTCAAGGTTCGAGTGGAGAGGGTATGTATGGGTCGTGAGGAAAAAGATTGAGAAATACTAGCGTAATGATAAATAATGAATGATGTCAATGATCAATTCTTAAATGGAATAATTAATCCTAATTTAATGTTCGATTTCTTAGTGCAAAAGAGCCAAACGTGGTTCAACATATAGATCAGGTGGTGTATAGTAACATGACTGTTATATCAGTGTGCTTGGTCAGCCGGCATGTGATGGGCTGTGACGGGACCATATTCTGCTACATCCTCGCCTTCGCACAGTTCTGCAAAGTACAGTTATATATCAGATTACTTGAGTCTAAGTTGTGTGTACTATATTTGTTCACATGTTTGTACTAAAAGTTTATGCCTGTAGAGGTTAAGTTTCAGCTCCCGGATCCCGCTTCTCAAACTTCGATCGACTGGTGTATACGATCTCCAATATTTTTCTTATATAAATAATACTCAAGAAACCGTATGTGGAAGCCTAAACCCAAATCTTTTTCTACTCAGTATAGCTTCCTCACTACCCCTTACATTACATTTTGGTTATTTGGCTCCACTTATTTTCCATCTGTGTCCTTTCGAAGCCTGGTCACAGACCGGGCAGCGGGGGCGTTGACCCCCGAAACCCTCTCCAGGTATTTCGTTTTAGTTCTTACTACCTTTTTATCTGATATACCTTCGATGGGTTTCGAGAGTTTTCCTACTCTTGCAGTCCAGCTCTGCGTGAGGTTTGTTTGGTGCTTGCTTGATCAACCAGGTTGTTGCTACTGGCGGCCCGCTGGCCCATTTATCCGCCACAGTCTGGTTGATCCGACACTTTGCGAAGGAAATTGTCAGTAGGTGTCTGCCAATGTGGTGGCACAGGTGTAGTCCCAGGCAATCACTCACCATCCTTCCATGGTAGCGTAGAGGCTCCATCAGCACGCTTTTGACTTCTGTCAGACCTCTGTAGTACTTGGGGTTCCTGTTGAGCTGGGCAACGGCCTATTGCGAGGCTTCTCTCTATGATGTCGTTGACCTCATGTCTAGCATACTTCCCTTCTGATGTGTGACACACGAGACCGTGAAGCCCGAATTGATCAGCCGTCGCCCTGCCGCAAAGACACTTATGTTCGGTGAGTATGGGGGCGGCTAGGCGAAGAGCAACACCAATCCGATCGGCCTGTGGGTCGAGTCGAATGCCCAGAGAGGAATTGGGAACAGCTAGAAGGAAATCTCTTGAATGTGGTGCTTTCACCGCTAGAAGACGAGCTTTGTCCTTTCCTGGAAGGTTGGTAAGCATTGTGTTGGCGATTTTTTCCATCATCGATTTGTCCCAGTGGGACTGTTTGTGCTCTTTGGGAGAAGCTGGTCTACTGGAGGAGTCTGCAAGGGTGTCCCACTGCACTACTGCTTCAGTGAACCTGGGGTCTTGAGCTCCTACCGCACCTCTCAAGCGTTTGGGGACAATCTCCTTGACTAGTCGACTGGAAGCCAAACACGAAGACAGAAATACAGTTAAAGCTACCTGCGTTGCTTTGCTCACCCCAATATCTCCCAGTCGCACTGGGAGGGTTGCCTGATCCCATTACTGATCATCCAGTGACAGATCCAGTGCCTTCTTAAAGACTGATCTCAGGAGTGAGTCATATTCGTCAAGTGTTGGGTTGTCAAAAGAGGGTGCGCACCTCAGGAAGTGAGTCTTGGCATGTATTTTTATTTATTAACACCTCGGCCGTCTCCCGCCAAGGCAGGGTGGCCCGAAAAAGAAAAACTTTCATCATTCACTCCATCACTATCTTGCCAGAGGCACGCTTACACTACAGTTATAAAACTGCAACATTAACACCCCTCCTTCAGAGTGCAGACACTACTTCCCATCCCCGGACTCAAGGTCGGCCTGCCGGTTTCCCCTGAATCCCTTCATAACTGTTACCTTGCTCACTCTCCAACAGCACGTCAAGTCCTAAAAATCATTTATCTCCACTAACTCCTATCAAACACCCTCACGTATGCTTGCTGGAAGTTGAAGCCCCTCGCACACACACATATTATATATATATATATATATATATATATATATATATATATATATATATATATATATATATATATATATATATATATATATCACACACACATATATATATATATATATATATATATATATATATATATCATATTATATATATATATATATATATATATTTATATATATTATATATATGCAAAACAACCACTGTGAAAGAGTAGTGAAATTCCAGCGCTTTCGTGACTACTCACATTGTCAAGGAACTATGTTCCGTGACAATGTGAGTAGTCACGAAGCGCTTGAATTTCACTACTCTTTCACAGTGGTTGTTTTGCATATTTTAAAATCACCTGTTTACCGTGATCTTATTGCATATATATTATATATATATATATATATATATATATATATATAATATATATATATATATATATATATATATTATATATATATATATATATATATTATATATATATATATATATATATATATATATATATTATATTATATATATTATATATATATATTATTTTATTATCACACTGGCCGATTCCCACCAAGGCAGGGTGGCCCGAAAAAGAAAAACTTTCACCATCATTCACTCCATCACTGTCTTGCCAGAAGGGTGCTTTACACTACAGTTTTTAAACTGCAACATTAACACCCCTCCTTCAGAGTGCAGGCACTGTACTTCCCATCTCCAGGACTCAAGTCCGGCCTGCCGGTTTCCCTGAATCCCTTCATAAATGTTACTTTGCTCACACTCCAACAGCACGTCAAGTATTAAAAACCATTTGTGTCCATTCACTCCTATCAAACACGCTCATGCATGCCTGCTGGAAGTCCAAGCCCCTCGCACACAAAACCTCCTTTACCCCCTCCCTCCAACCTTTTTCTAGGCCGACCCCTACCCCGCCTTCCTTCCACTACAGACTGATACACTCTTGAAGTCATTCTGTTTCGCTCCATTCTCTCTACATGTCCGAACCACCTCAACAACCCTTCCTCAGCCCTCTGGACAACAGTTTTGGTAATCCCGCACCTCCTCCTAACTTCCAAACTACGAATTCTCTGCATTATATTCACACCACACATTGCCCTCAGACATGACATCTCCACTGCCTCCAGCCTTCTCCTCGCTGCAACATTCATCACCCACGCTTCACACCCATATAAGAGCGTTGGTAAAACTATACTCTCATACATTCCCCTCTTTGCCTCCAAGGACAAAGTTCTTTGTCTCCACAGACTCCTAAGTGCACCACTCACTCTTTTTCCCTCATCAATTCTATGATTCACCTCATCTTTCATAGACCCATCGGCTGACACGTCCACTCCCAAATATCTGAATACGTTCACCTCCTCCATACTCTCTCCCTCCAATCTGATATCCAATCTTTCATCACCTAATCTTTTTGTTATCCTCATAACCTTACTCTTTCCTGTATTCACCTTTAATTTTCTTCTTTTGCACACCCTACCAAATTCATCCACCAATCTCTGCAACGTCTCTTCAGAATCTCCCAAGAGCACAGTGTCATCAGCAAAGAGCAGCTGTGACAACTCCCACTTTGTGTGTGATTCTTTATCTTTTAACTCCACGCATCTTGCCAAGACCCTCGCATTTACTTCTCTTACAACCCCATCTATAAATATATTAAACAACCACGGTGACATCACACATCCTTGTCTAAGGCCTACTTTTACTGGGAAAAAATTTCCCTCTTTCCTACATACTCTAACTTGAGCCTCACTATCCTCGTAAAAACTCTTCACTGCTTTCAGTAACCTACCTCCTACACCATACACTTGCAACATCTGAAGGTGAGATCCTCCGACATGATCACTCCCAGGTCTTTGACGTTGGTGTTTCGCTCTATTTTGTGGCCAGAATTTTTGTACTCTGATGAAGATTTAATTTCCTCGTATTTACCATATCTGAGTAATTGAAATTTCTCATCGTTGAACTTCATATTGTTTTCTGCAGCCCACTGAAAGATTTGGTTGAGGTCCGCCTGGAGCCTTGCAGTGTCTGTAATGGAAGACACTGTCATGAAGATTCGGGTGTCATCTGCAAAGGAAGACACGGTGCTGTGGCTGACATCCTTGTCTATGTCAGATATGAGGATGAGGAACAAGATGGGAGCGAGTACTGTGCCTTGTGGAACAGAGCTTTTCACCGTAGCTGCCTCGGACTTTACTCTGTTGACTACTACTCTGTGTTCTGTTAGTGATGAAATTATAGATCCATCGACCGACTTTTCCTGTTATTCCTTTAGCACGCATTTTGTGCGCTATTACGCCATGGTCACACTTGTCGAAGGCTTTTGCAAAGTCTGTATATATTACATCTGCATTCTTTTTGTCTTCTAGTGCATCTAGGACCTTGTCGTAGTGATCCAATAGTTGAGACAGACAGGAGCGACCTGTTCTAAACCCATGCTGCCCTGGGTTGTATAACTGATGGGTTTCTAGATGGGTGGTGATCTTGCTTCTTAGGACCCTTTCAAAGATTTTTATGATATGGGATGTTAGTGCTATCGGTCTGTAGTTCTTTGCTGTTGCTTTACTGCCCCCTTTGTGGAGTGGGGCTATGTCTGTTGTTTTTAGTAACTGTGGGACGACCCCCGTGTCCATGCTCCCTCTCCATAGGATAGTAAAGGCTCGTGATAGGGGCTTCTTGCAGTTCTTGATGAACACGGAGTTCCATGAGTCTGGCCCTGGGGCAGAGTGCATGGGCATGTCATTTATCGCCTGTTCGAAGTCATTTGGCGTCAGGATAACATCAGATAGGCTTGTGTTAACCAAATTCTGTGGCTCTCTCATAAAAAATTCATTTTGATCTTCGACTCTCAGTCTGGTTAGCGGCTTGCTAAAAACTGAGTCATACTGGGACTTGAGTAGCTCACTCATTTCCTTGCTGTCATCTGTGTAGGACCCATCTTGCTTCAGTAGGGGCCCAATACTGGACGTTGCTCTCGACTTTGATTTGGCATAGGAGAAGAAATACTTTGGGTTTCTTTCGATTTCATTTATGGCTTTTAGTTCTTCCCACGATTCCTGACTCCTATAAGATTCTTTTAGCTTAAGTTCGATGTTTGCTATTTCTCTGAGCAGTGTCTCCCTATGCATTTCAGATATATTGACCTCTTTTAGCCGCTCTGTTATTCTTTTCCGTCGCCTGTAAAGGGAGCGCCTGTCTCTTTCTATTTTACATCTACTCCTCCTTTTTCTTAGAGGAATAAGCCTTGTGCATACATCGAGTGCCACCAAGTTAATCTGTTCTAGGCATAAGTTGGGGTCTGTGTTGCTTAGTATATCTTCCCAGCTTATATCGGTTAGGACTTGGTTTACTTGGTCCCACTTTATGTTTTTGTTATTGAAGTTGAATTTGGTGAATGCTCCCTCGTGACTAATCTCATTATGTCGGTCTGGGGCTCCGCGCATACATGTCTGAACCTCAATTATGCTGTGATCTGAGTATATTGTTTTTGATATGGTGACATTTCTTATCAGATCATCATTGTTAGTGAAGATGAGGTCTAGTGTATTCTCCAGTCTAGTAGGCTCTATTATTTGCTGGTTTAAATTGAATTTTGTGCAGAGATTTAAAAGCTCGTGTGAGTGTGAGTTTTCATCAGAGCTGCCTCCTGGTGTTATTACTGCAACAATATTATTTGCTATATTCCTCCATTTTAGGTGCCTTAAGTTGAAGTCCCCCAGGAGCAAGATGTTGGGTGCAGGAGCTGGAAGATTTTCCAGACAGTGGTCAATTTTTAACAGCTGTTCCTGGAATTGCTGGGATGTTGCATCCGGAGGTTTGTAGACTACCACAATGACTAGGTGAAGAGCTTTTGATCCAGGAATTAGAGCTACTCTTTTTTTATCTAATCTCACTGCCTTCCATTCCCTAGGCACTATATGACCCCATATAAATGTAATAATAATAATAAACGCTAGTGTCACATACTCGACGATGATCAGTCAAGTTTTGAACAATGTTCCCTTGAACTCGGGTCTGTCAAACCTGCATGTGCCTGTTACATTATCCTGTTAGTGTGTATGTCTGGAGCGATAGGCTTAGCGTGATGTCCACCACCAGGTCTATGTTGTTAACACAGGGAGACGTATTTCTAAAAGTTTCTGGACCAACTCCAGTACCCATTTTCCAAACCATTTTTGCAGCGTGTCTTCCTACATGTTGGATTACGTGTTTCCTATTAAATTCGTTCACAATAACATCACAAGTTATCAAGTACCCTCGTAGCTACACACTTAGTGTATGCTTATTACACTATTTTGTTGTACAGTATTTTACCGATTTGTTACAATTTGCTTGGGAACAATGTTCTGTTGTCTATTTTAGTTGGCCATATCATACTGACCTTGGATTTTAGGGTCATTCCAGGGCTGGAGGTCAGCTGAGATCATGATAAGGTAGAGTGAACAGGTCAACAGGTAGAGGCCACCAATGATAATGAACACCAGCCTCCACCCCCACAGCGTCGCCTACAGCAGGAAGAGAAACTTCAGCAGTTCCACACTTCTGTCACAATAACCTTGTGAAATTCCACATAAACACTCAGATTATCATGATGTACTGAAAAGCGTTAAACCCGTTGGGGTCATACAGCGTTGAAACTTAGACGAATGACTAAATGTTTTGGCTAGATTCACCACAGAAACAAGCGAAGGGCTCTTGATCCAAAAATAATGGAGCTACACTACATTTCCTTGAATGTAATCTAATTTCCTACTTCATTCCACGGGGCGCTGTATGAACCCTACGGATTTAGCTCTCCACGAAACATACATACGTATATATAAATAAATAAGTAAATAAATAATATATATATATATATATATATATATATATATATATATATATATATATATATATATATATATATATATATATATATATATATATATATATATATAAAGCAAATATCGCAAACCAAGCGATACAAGATGCAAAACAACCACGGGGGAGTAGAATAATACCTCTAGGCCTTTCGTGTTGCAGTCAACACATCATAAGGAGCTTGCAAAATTGCAGAAAAGAGGAGTCCTAGCAAATAACGTTCCCAGAGGACCGCCTTTACTGGAGTGCACTCCAGTAAAGGCGGTCCTCTGGGAACGTTATTTGCTAGAACTCCTCCTTTCTGCAATTTTGCAAGCTCCTGATGATGTGTTGACTGCAACACGAAAGGCTAGAGGTATTATTCTACTCCCCCGTGGTTGTTTTGCATCTTGTATCGCTTGGTTTGCGATATTTGCTTTATATATATATATATATATATATATATATATATATATATATATATATATATATATATATATATATATATATATATATATATATAATAAAACTTTAGACTATCCATGCAATTTATTATATTTCATAATATGGCTAGGCATCGAAGGTTTTACTGGGTAGAAGCAGACAAGTTACCAGTGTTGTATAATTAACGTGAGAACACTGGAGAAGATACAGAGAAAGATAACAAAGGTATTAATATTGGTAGAATTACCGACAATACGTTAAGTAAAAGGACACAAATTCAACCACGGCTTGATAAAGCTTCTGGAGAGCGAAACATTGCTATAATAAAATGTCACATTAGTTGCATTTGTGTCCTTTTACTTAATATAACAAAGGTAATCTACTGTACAGGGAATCTCAGGTGAATAAGATATGTACAACCAAAATTACAATACCTTATTGATTTATTTATCATTATAATAATTCAGACTAGGATTCTTCATTTACACTCGCTACATATACATATTAAACAATAACCAGAAAACCTACAGGACGCACAGTGTTTACGACGAAACTTAAGTCTAGTTTTAAGAACTTCACAGTCTGATTTATTATTTTTTATTTATTGTGTTTTAAAATCTGCACATGATAGTAATGTGAAGTTTAAAAGTATGCAAGTTACAGCATAATTCATAAAATAAAAAACTATAATTGTGTTTTTGTAAGAAGGCGAATGAAACTAATTTATGGACTTAAAATACAATATAATGCAATAAAAGTTGTAAAAAATGACAATTGAAGTATGATGCTATACTTTACTGACAGCTACGCCAAACAATGGACTTTATCAAATCACAAACAAAGCTGAGAGATCAGAACAATAAAGAATCAAATGTGGAAAGAAGTAATGCATAAAGCTTATCAGGAATTGATGAGGCTACAAGATATAATAGTAGAGCATGTGCTGGTGCATCATACTAGTGGGGAAACTGCGTATTAGATTTACTTTTTCTTGGCCACCTTTTATTTCTCTCGCACACACACACACACACACACACACACACACACACACACACAACACACACACACACACAGAAAGCTAGAGGATCAGGCACACATAACAGGAAAGGCACTGCAATGGATCAGAGAATACCTGACAGGGAGGCAACAACGAGTCATGGTACGTGACGAGGTGTCAGAGTGGGCGCCTGTGACAAGCGGGGTTCCACAGGGGTCAGTCCTAGGACCTGTGCTGTTTTTGGTATATGTGAATGACATAACGGAAGGGATAGACTCAGAATGTCCTTGTTTGCAGATGATGTGAAGTTAATGAGAAGAATCAAATCGGATGAGGATCAGGCAGGACTACAAAGAGACCTGGACAGGCTACAAGCCTGGTCCAGCAACTGGCTCCTTGAATTTAACCCTGCCAAATGCAAAGTCATGAAGATTGGGGAAGGGCAAAGAAGACCGCAAACACAATATAGTTTAGATGGCCAAAGACTGCAAACCTCACTCAAGGAAAAAGATCTGGGGGTGAGTATAACACCGAGGGTATCTCCTGAGGCGCACATCAATCAGATAACTGCTGCAGCATACGGGCGCCTGGCAAACCTACTGATAGCGTTCCGATACCTCAGTAAGGATTCGTTCAAGACTCTGTATACCATTTACGTCAGGCCCATACTGGAGTATGCAGCACCAGTTTGGAATCCACACCTAGTCAAACACGTCAAGAAATTAGAGAAAGTGCAAAGGTTTGCAACAAGACTAGTCCCAGAGCTAAGGGGATTGTCCTACGAAGAAAGTTGAGGGAAATCGGCCTGACGACACTGGAGGACAGGAGGGTCAGGGGAGACATGATAACGACATATAAAATACTGCGCGGAATAGACAAGGTGGACAAAGACGGGATGTTCCAGAGAAGGGACACAGACACAAGAGGTCACAATTGGAAGCTGAAGACTCAGATGAATCAAAGGGATGTTAGGAAGTATTTCTTCAGTCATAGAGTAGTCAGGCCGTGGAATAGCCTAGAAAGTGACGTAGTGGAGGCGTGAACCATACATAGTTTTAAGGCGAGGTATGATAAAGCTCATGGGGCAGGGAGAGAGAGGACCTAGTAGCAATCAGCGAAGAGGCGGGGCCAGGAGCTATGAATCGACCCCTGCAACCACAAATAGGTGAGTACAAATAAGTGAGTATACACACACACACACGCACACACAGTACTCACGTCATGGTGAAGAATATAGCCGGTGATGGCGGGACTGGCAATGCCTGCTAATGCCCCAATAGTATTGGTGATGCCCAGCAGGGTGCCGGCCAGGTTGGGTGCCAAGTCCTGATGGGAACACATAAGGCCGCTGTTGACAGCACCCATGAGCATGCAGGAGACACACAGCAGCACCAATGCAGCAATCATAGCCTGGCACACCGCAAACACCATGGCCACTAGACCCAACATTGGTCCGTACATCGCTGTGCAGGGCAGATCAATTGTTATTTTTTGTATTACTGTATAAAAGGAGCCAAAAAAAACATTACTGAGCCTAGATGTATGTATTTTAGTGACTGTATGATTCAAGCCTGGGCCTCTCCACCTCACTGAATGCAAAAGAAATAAATTTTACAGGGCCATCATAAAATTTTGATGCTGGGGAAAAAAAAAATATGCGTGTACTTATGTACATGCGTATATCTGGAGAGTGTGTCGGGGGTCAACGCCCCCGTGGCCCGGTCAGTGACCAGGCCTCATGGTGGATCAGGGGCTGATCAACCAGGCTGTTACTGTTAGATAAGACACATATGCAACAGTTAGGTATCTTTATTTCGAAATGTTTCGCCTACACAGTAGGCTTCTTCAGTCGAGTAGAAAAAAGTTGATAGAAGCAGAAGAGACTTGAAGACGATGTAATTAGTCCATCACCCTTGAAGTTCTGAGGTGGTCAGTCCCTCAGTCTGGAGAAGAGTATTGTTCCATAGTCTGAAACAATATGGAGTAGAAGTGACAGGATGGAGCCTTATATACCACCAGGAGGCGAGATGTAGGTCACTAGTAGAGGTAAGAATTTTGTCGTTGGAAGGTCACGTCACTCTCAAATCCAGCCATTCTCACTAGTAGAAGTTGTCCAAGTTGTTTTCTGTTCTGTACCAAGATACCATTCTGTTGCAGTGTCTGACAGAGTGAACATCAAAATGGTATAAAATACCGTTTTCGAAACGTTGCGCCTACTGTGTAGGCGAAACGTTTCGAAATAAAGATACCTGACTGTTGCATATGTGTCTTATCTAACAACCTGTCGGTATTTTATACCATTTTTGATGTTCAGGCTGTTACTGTTGGCCGCACTTAACCCGACGTACGAACCACAGCCCGGCTGATCAATACTGACTTTAGGTGTCTGTCCAGCTCCCTCTTGAAGACAGCCAGGGGTGTATTGGTAATCCCCTTACGTATGCTGGGAGGCAGATGAACAGTTTTGGGCCCCTGACGCTTACTGCGTTGATTCTTAGCGTACTCATGGCGCCCCTGCTATCCTACCACAAAACAGTCCACAAAATGAGAGATATGGGAGAATATATATCAAATAAACCCGGTGAAAAGCACAAGGGCGCCGTGAAGGTTTAGACTATTCTGACATACCAGTATTTGAAAAGTCCGTGACATCACGGCAAGCGTATTTGAAATATGCTGACACGTGAGCATAATAAGCGAACACTGTATCAATATACGTGGGCCCAGACTGTTTAACATCTTACCAGACAACATCAGAAACACTGCTGGAACAAGCGTAGAAGTCTTGAAGAGGGAACTCGGCAAGCATCTTCTTGTGAAGATACTTGCAGGATCAACCAGGCTGTGACGGGCATGCGAGCCAGCGGGCCGCCGGCAGTAACAGCCTGGTTGATCAGACAAGCACCAGACACGCCTGGCCCAGGGCCAGACTTTGGTAGTAGACAAACTGTCGAATCCCATCAAATGTAAAATGTTGTAGATTGTGAATAAGATGGTCAAAAGGTAAGTAAACATGACACTCAAACGTTTCGCCCATATGAAAGCCAGAAAAAAGTACTTAAAAAAGTGTTTCTCTCACGTTTATTAGTATATTTTCAGTCACTTTGAACTTTGCAGTTACTATAAACCTGATAGCAATTTTTTAATAGTAAGACTGTTCAACTGTCTCCCAGCATACATAATGGGGATTACCAATAGACCCCTGACTGTCTTCAAGAAGGCACTGGACAGGCACCTAAAGTCAGTACCTGACCAAACGGGCTGTTGTTCGTACGTCAGCTTGCATGCGCCCAGCAGTAACAACCTGGTTGATCAGACCCTGATCCACCATGAGGCCTGGTCTCAGACCGGGCCGCGGGGGCGTTGACCCCCGAAACCCTCTCCAGGTAAGGGAAGTGTCAATGGAATTTTAAATTCTATACAAATCCTTAATCTATTAGATTCTATTATTATTATTATTATTATAATTAAAAAGAAGCACTAAGCCACAAGGGGTATACAGCGCTGCAGGGTAGGGAAGGAAGCGAGGGTATTGGGCGGCAGAAGGGAGGAGGGATGATCAGTAGGTTACAGAAAACGGCGGGGCAGGGGATAGTGCAGGGTAGAGGGTAGCAAGAGATCGAGGTAGAAAGGGCTGAAGGTATCATCAGAGTTTGTGGAGTAAGTCAGTTGTTGTAAAAAAGTCAATGAGAGAATCTGGATGAAAGGTGGGTCCATCAGCGAGAAGGGAAGGTAGAGAGAGAGCAGCGGAGCGAAGACGACGTTGGAGGTAAATTCTGCGTGCTCGTTGATAAAGTGGGCAGTCTAACAGAATGTGGCTCACCGATAATGGAACCTGACAATTCTCACAGGGGCAGGGTGCCTCCAGAGTACCATGAGTAACGAGTAGGCAATGCGCAAGGGCGGGAGAGAGTAGTCTCCCAAAACCCCGGCATGGTGACAAGAAGACGGGCAGAAAAATTTTTAAAAAAAAACCCCGGAAGGAAAAAGGGGGGGAAAAAAGGGTTTTTTAAAAATTTTTTTTTAAAAAAAAAAAAGGGGGTGGGAACCCTGCCCCAAAAGGGCCCCAACGGGGGGGGTTAAAAAAAAAAAACCCCCAAAAAGGGGGAAGGTTTTTTTTTAAAAAAAAATTTTTTTTTTAAAAAAAAATTTTCCCCCCCTTTTTTTTTTTTAAAAATTTTTTAATTTTCTTTTTTTTTTTTTTTTTTCCCCCTTTTTTTTTAAAAAAAAAATTTTTTTTTTTTTTTTTAAAAATTTTTTTTTCTTTTTTTTTTTTTTTTCCCCCATTTTTTTAAAAAAACCCCCCAAAAAAAAATTTTTTTTTTTTTTTTTTTTTTTTTTTTTTTTTTTTTAAAAAAATTTTTTAAAACCTTTTTTTTTAAAATTTTTTTTTTTTTTTTTTAAAAAAAAAAAACCCAAAAAAGGGGTTCAGGGGGGGGGGGGAAAGGGGGGGGGGGGGGGGGGGGGGGATAAGGGGGCAAAAAACCGGGGGGGGGGGGGGGGGAAAGGGGAAAAAAAAAAAGGGCTAAAGGGGGTTTTGGGAGTAAGTAAATTGTTGTAAAAAAATCAATGAGAGAATCTGGATGAAAAAGGGGTTCCATCAGCGAGAAGGGAAGGTAGAGGGGAGAGCCGGCGGAAAACGAAGTTGGAGGTTTAAATTTTTGCCCTGCCCCGTTGATAAAATGGGGCAGTCTAACGGGAAAGTGGCTCACCGATAATGGAAACCCGACAATTCTAAAAGAGAGGAAACCGGGTGCCTCTCCCTGGGGGAACCCTGAGTAAAACGAAATATGGCCCCCTGCGCAGACGGGAGAGGTAGTTTCCCAACCCCGGCACTGGGGGACAAAAAAGACGGCCCGTAAAACCCATACTCGGTTTTAAAAGATTGGGAAATTTTTTACCAAAGTAGAAAATAACCCAAATTTTTTGCCAACGGGTGTGGGGGTGGGTAGCTTTTGCAGCAAAAAAAGTCTGTAAATGGAACACCTTTTATATGAAAAATGGCCCGGTATTTTACTGCTGACCGCGCCCGCCGGTGTTTTGGGGCCCGTTTTTTTGCCCCGTACGTAAAAATGACCAGGGGGGCCCAAAAAAAACAATATTTTTTATGTTTTGGGAGAGATGCGGCCCTAGCAAAGTTGGTTTCGGAGGACAAGGGGTGGGGTGGGGAAACAAAATTTCTGTTTGCCTTTAAGACTAAGGGAGTCTGAGACAACCAAAAATGTGACACAGGCATAGATGCCCAAAATGGGGTAATTTGGGGCTGCAAGGGAAAGGGGGATACAATTCAGTGTGTGTATCACCTTAAATTTTTGGTTGCGGTGGTGTGTGTGTGGTTTGTGTGTGTGTGTGTGTGTGTGGGGGTGTGTGTGTGTGTGTGTGTGTGTGTTGTGTGTGGTTTTGGGTGGGGGGTGGGTTTTGGTGTGGTGTGTGTCTCAACAATCAATATTTGCCCCCAAAACCTTTTGACAGTTGTGACCGGGGTGTGGAAGTGTGAATTGCCCCATTACACTATAATTTTTTTCATGATTGTAGCCATGTATAAAAAGTAAGTAACGATTCTAAAAAATTTCATTCCTTTGTAATTGTGAGTCATTACCTTTGTCCCTATTCAGCAAATCAAAATTTGGGGGCCCAGCCCCCTGGCCCCATTACGTACCTCTGAAATATGAAAATACCTTTTGTAACTTGTCATGATTGTGACCAGCCCTACTGGAGTTATTTACCTTTGTAAATTGTGAGTTCATTACCTTTGTAAATTGTGAGTTCATTCCTCTGTAACTTGCTAGCTATCAAAACTTTGGAGCCCCGTCCCTAAACCCAATTATGTACCTCTGAAATTTTGTCCCGCCCACAGGATGGGTATGGGGTGATAAAAAACATATTACATAAGACGTGTCCAAAACATGCTGCGAATCCTACCCCGTCGAAGACTTAGAGCCATCTGGTAACGCAAGGCAGGGAATGAGATGGAAGTGGTCAAAAAAAAAGGGGCGGGAAGCTCCCATAAATTTGGGCTTTCGGAAGGGAGTGGAAAAAAAAAGGACTCGAACAGCGGGGAATTCCCAGGGGGGTGGGAAAAAAGTGAGATGTACATGAAAATAAAAAGGTGGAAATTAAAAGAGAAGACAGAGGAAATGTGGCGAAGAGAAAAGGGGTCGGAGAAAACAGGGGCGGCGAAAAATAAAGAATGCCACTAATACCCCGGTCCCCCTTCTATAAAGGGAAGGGGATTGCGGAAAACATGAGAGCGTAATAGCGAAAGGAATTGCATACGGCGATCGGATAAGGGGTGGAACGTTGCTTCTGCATAGAGGCTCTAACAGGGGGAAAAGGGGAAAAAGCCCAAGAAAAAAGTAATTCTTGGTGATGAATGGGTTGAGGTAGGAGAGTAGCGGAGAGGCAGCTGAATAGATTTGGCCCTGTCAAGTTTTGATAAAATGAGGGTGGAAAAGTGGCGAAG